CCCATATTTATAAATTGGAAATAATATTTGTACTCCGTACCTATAGAATGGCATTTTTCAAATTTTAAGTCATGACACATTAGTGGATTGTAAAATTGATTTAGTAGCAGAAAAATGACCAGAATAGAATAAAAAATAACAGAATTTATCACACTTACTGTTTCTGAAACTTGTGTTTGTAGTAACTCGTGTTTCTGATATGCAAGTATGTATGTGTGTGTACCTCTCTCTATGTGTGTATATATGTATGTATGTACTAGTGAAGTGTTATATGGGAAAATATGTTTCCTACCATGGGTTGTCGTCAGAAAGTTTGAGAGCTACTCTTCTGGACTTATATGAAGCTCAAACAACATTCAGAAGTGTTGCAGAGCTCCTGTAAACTCTAAAACACCTCACAAGTCGAAGTTGTCATTACTTAACACTGGAAGCGGAAACAAACAAATAAAGGATGGCAGATAAAAGTGTTGCTGTGCTGTAACCTCCACCCATCTGGTTCATTGCAGATAGTGCTAATCTGTCGCCACAGTGTGTCCAGTGGAGCCAGGATGCAACTTTAACACTCCTCAACATAACACTGCAGGCCTCAGGATGAAACCTATTTGCAGACCTAGCGACAGGCTTAGGTATTGTTGGTACCTCAGGACCAGTCTGTGGTTATAAAGTACCGCTCAGCACTTCCGGAGCTCTGACTCTCATTTAAATGCTAGGAAGACAGATGTGATCCCCAGAACAGCCTGGGCATCCCTGCATTACAGGCCCCGCAAGAGTCGCCTCCACTCTCTTCCCCTCATGGTACTCCCCGCCCACCATCTTCATCTGGAAGCAATTTACCTCCTTCTGCCTCTCAGAGGGCATCAGACCAATCCAGAGTCCCCATGCATTTTCCCTTGAAGCAAAGGTGGCAGTGGCCATTTTCCTTGGAACATGCTCTTTCCTCATTAACTGTAATTCATTAGGGAACCACAGGGAACATGGGGCGCTGATCCCCCACCAACTGCCCTGAAGGCACGCCCCTCAGGAGATGCCCTGCTTCTCTGCTGATGTGGCAAACTCTTAACAGTCTCAAAAGGAACTGGCCTTTCCCTTAAAATCTCATGTGGAAACTGTTTCTCTGCCGCCTGCAAAGGAAGTCTGTAGAATTGGCAGTTGTCTTAGAAGTCTCCACAGACGAGTCCACGTGGACCTAGGGAAGGCCTGTCAAAGACTCCCTCAGTGGAATATGCAATGATGCATAAGAGACTCTTGTGTGTGGATTTTAAGTCAAGACTCAACATGACATTCTGGGCTGTGTGGGGAAGAGCTCAAGCAGCTCAGTTACCAACCCGGAAAGCAAGTTCTCTGTGTTTTATAGACCTCACTAATGAATGAGCCCCGTGGCCTTGGCTAGACCAGGCTTCCCAGTGCTCTGCCAGCCCTCCTCCCACACATGGGTAAATGCATCAAGTTATAATGGATGGCTGGTGCCAGCGGAGACTGAGGTCTGTGCCTTTCTCTCTGGGATACATAGCAATCTCCAGCCATTAATAATTCATTCTGGAGGAATGAACATAGCTGTACCAAGTTGTGAGCAGTAATAATCAAGTGATAGATCAATTTGTTACCTCAGTGTGCCAAAAGATAATGGTAGCTAGTCATGAAAGGTATAGCCTTTTTCCCCAAAAGTTTCATAAGACTTAGATCAATGTGTTTTTTTAAGTTCTAAAATAAAATGGATCATTAAAAAGGAAATGAGTTACGTTGGGTAGCCTCAAGCGTATTTATATTCAGAGATGCTTATCCACAATTACCATAGCTTTTTTCCAAATGCCTTTGGTCATTTGGGCCAGTAAATTGGAGTAATTATTGCTCATTAATTCAATCTAAGAAATGGAACACAGTTCCAGACTTTGCAAAGGGAGGTTGGGAGAGTTGAGATACCTTCCCCCAAAATCATCAATAATAATTTGAGGTTTTCTGAGTAAGTAGCTGGGTTGAGAATTATTGTTTAATGTCTACTCAGAAACTCCCGTCGTCTTTTAACACCTCATTGAACATTTGTTGTGTTTCTCCTGGGCCGGGCACTGCTCTCAGCACTGGTGCTACCCACTAAAATAAGCACGGTCTCTATCCTAAGGCAGTAGTTGAGACCTTAATAACATGTAATAAATCCAGGGGCCAACACTCCTGCCTTCATTGAGGGGTGGAGGGCTGGGGAGAGACTAGACAGAGACTTCAGAAGGGAAGGGAGCCATTGGCGCTGTGCCTTGAAGACCAACAGTTTGCCAAGCAAAGAAAGAAGGGTAAGAGAACGTTCTAGGGAGCGGATTGACAAAGGCAGATAGATGTGAAAGTGGAAAGAGGATGGGTAGTGAATGATTATAATAATCATCACTGCATTTCCCACACGGTAACACATTTAACTGATACAACAACCTCATGAAGTAGATGTATTATTCACCTCACCCCCTTTTAATTTAATTTAATTTAATTTAATTTTTAAAATTTATTTCATTTATTTATTTTTGTCTCCGTTGGGTCTTTGCTGCGTGCGGGCTTTCTCTAGTTGTAGCGAGCGGCGGCTACTCTTGGTTACGGTGCACAGGCTTCTCATTGCAGTGGCTTCTCTCCTTGCGGAGCATGGGCTCTAGGCGCGTGGGCTTCAGTAGTTGTGGCACACGGGCTTAGTTGCTCCATGGCATGTGGGATCTTCCCGCACCAGGGCTCGAACCCATGTCCCCTGCATTGGCAGGCGGATTCTTAACCACTGCGCCACCAGGGAAGCCCTCATACCCTTTTTTAAAAGATGAGGAACCCAAAGCTTAAACATTGAGTGAGTCCCTTGCTCAGGGACCCAGAGCTGGGAGGTGACAGAGGGCTTAGAGGTGAGTTGGAAAAGCTGTGCTACGTCATAGGAGTTTGACATTAAAAACAATGGAGCCCACCAGTGGTTTATGGTCACGATTATCAGAACATTCCAGCGGTGCAAGTGTTGCTGAACACTTGCACATACACTGTGTCACTGTGTTCTCTCTCAGCGACCCAGTGAGGTGTGAGGCCATTGTAGTTTTCAACAGAGGACTGCCTTGAGTGGAGCTAAGTTGTAGACAGTAGCTGGTGGTGGCAGGCAGGGTGCAGCCAAACCCAGAGAGTCTAGTCAGAGAGCCTTGTTAAGAGGCTGTTGCTTTAGTCAGATTGTGTTGAGAAGCGTGATGGTGAAAGTGATCATCGTCCAAACCGTATATTTTTATATTGGTCTACAATTTAAAAGTGCTTTCATACATAAATAGCTTGTTGATTCATTTACACAGGGACTTTTGTGGCAAGAGGGTAAGTCTACTGACTTGGCTTATTTGGGAGGGGAAGTATAAAGGCATGGAATTCACTTCCTGCACAAAGGAACTCATGTTGAAAGTAGTGGTGTTACAAGCAGCTTGTAAATATGCAGACTTGCTGATTGACTGAGGCCCAGAACCAAAGCCTTTCCCCTTTGCCAGCCTTTCCCCTTGCTTTAAGGCTTTCAGACTAGAAACCTGATACAGTTTTGGGTAGAATGGAAAACTATAAGTAACATCAGGAGATTCAGCTAGAACTCAGAAAATGTTTGTAAAATATTATTACTTGGACCAGAAACAGGCCAAGGCATCGGTGGAAACGTCTCCTTGCTGCAGGTATTGTTTAGCAATCAGAAAGCAAGTTCCCTTCCTGACTGGGCTGTTCCACAGTTCACGTTTCATAGACTTAACCATCCCTTTCAGAGGAGGAGCTTTTTATGAAATTAGACTTTTAGCCCTAGAAAATAAAAGAAAAATACACATCTGCTGATAAAATTGGTTACTGTAGTGTTCAGTAAAGGCTCAGTTTCAAAACCAGCACTTAAAGCAGTAGAACCTCTTTTTCCTCCTACAAAATAGAAGTATCCAAGAGAAACAGTGCAAACATTTGTAGAATTGTGTGAAAAACAAATACTCAGTACAAATAGCACTAAATGCTAGGGAGGTATGTCTGTGCAAACTGCCATCTCTGCCCAATTTCTCTCTAGTTTCTAGTAATGAATAGTTTCCTTCTTGTAACAGGTGGAAATATTAGGTGGAAGCTCCTAATATTTTCTTAACAGTACTGAATGGCCTTAACTTTTAACTTATTTGTTGTCAATAGATAATTGGTATATTTTTGTACATGGGGCCAGCAAATGAACAATGAAATTTTATGGCTAGTTCATGGTGCCCTGGGTGTGGAGTTCAGATATATGTTTTGAGTAGTTGTTTATCCAGAAATATGCGTATATGTTTAGCAGTTTACTCAGCCCCAATACTCCTGACCCTGTGTGTTCCTTGGACTTTGAGAGTAAGTGACAGTATAAACACAGCCATATACATGGATGTACAGTAGTGCATTTTTATTTCTGTTTATGCAGAAATGTTTGGCTTAATGTAAGCCACGTGTCTAATATGATGGGGCTTTAATACTTTGAGCCTAAAGTGCTGAATTTCCTGACCGAGATCTACCCATTTAAAAAAATTAGGTCTATTTTGGGCCTATATTTGCAAATGTATTAAAGCCATCAGGAGTTTTTAATATTTGCACTAGAGAAAATGCTAATGATCACAGCGGTTTAAGCAGCAGCCAAGTATAAAAGTTGTAACTAAGAGGGATTAGCAGTTACCTGGATTTGCAGAATAGGGATTCAAATGTGCAAAGGTTCACATTTTGGAAGGCAAGCTGCTTTGGTTGGTTGGTTGGTTGGTTGGTTGGTTGGTTGGTTGTTTTAGGCAAAATGGGAATTGTAAGGAGTGTCGTATCCTGAAATAGCAAAACAGCCCAAACACTGGAGATTTCTGAACCTTTGGTAGACGAAAATAGTAGAAAAGTCTCTCTTTGGACTCCAGAGGCATCCGAACATGTCCCCAGATCTGGCTCCTACCAGATGAGGCGTCTGAAGATGGGAAAGGTACAGGAGGTCAGCTGTCCATTCATACACTGTTTCTCTCATTTGTGCCATTTCTTTTCCTTCCTACCAGCGTTGCTAACAACCACAAGCAGAATTTGATGACGGTGGCAAACCTTGGCGTGGTGTTCGGACCCACCCTGCTGCGTCCTCAGGAAGAAACGGTAGCAGCCATCATGGATATCAAGTTTCAGAACATTGTCATTGAGATCCTAATAGAAAATCATGAAAAGGTAATATATCATTGGTCGCCACAAGTAGAGAATTTACTTGGGGGGGAGCTGAGTTGAAACTGGCCTACAGGGTTGACTGAGGTTCACATCGGTGGTGGCTTTTACACTGTGGTGATGATGACTAAGTTGCTGGTGGTGGTATGGTGGCAGTGATAGTCATCTTGGGATTGCAGCAGTGGCAACGGTGGTGGTTGTGGTGACGGTAGTGGTGGACAACATATTGGGCATTTCTTTTGTAACAGGAACTGTGTGCTATGCACTTTACATATGCTGTCCTTTTAACCTCATAGCAATGCGGTGAAGGAGGTACTACTAGGAGGCTCATTTTGAAAATACCCTGTACCCATTTGGTTTTTTTTCACTTGGTTGTCTTCTTATGAATTTTTGAGTTTTTTTAAAACATTAGAATAGTATACTATTTTCATGTGTTTCAAATATTTTTCCTGACCTATAGTTTCCTTATAGTTTTATAAATGGTGTATTGTTTCATACCGTGGG